GCCTGGTACCCCATACTCCCGGAGAACCCCTCCAGGGGAACTGCCCCCGATGTCCATGCGATATTGCAGAGTCGCGCGAGCCAACGCAACCCTACAATATCCAATATACAATATGCTGAATGTCCTGTGAGATAAATATGAGGTGAGCCAGTTAAAGCTGAGCCAGAAATATCAGCTAGGACCTTCAGCCTGTTTAACAGGATTTCATGGTCGACAGATGAGATCTAATAAAACCAGCGCAAGATACATTTGTTTATTTTTATTTAATTTTTGTAGTTTTGCAAAGAATGTTTCAAAATACCTTAGCAGAGAAGCATAAAGAGAAGATTATGCTTCTGTTCTCCTCTGACTATGCCCCCTTAACTTGTGGGGTGCCACAAGGCTCAGTTAATAATTTCAGATATTAACAAAAAAGAAACCTTTGAGTTTATATCATAACTGAATTAAGTACAATAATAAAAGAAATATGCTTTTATTCTAGGAATAAAATGATGTGTGTTTAAATACCTGTCAGTGTGATGAAAACACACAGGAGCAGCAGAAGACGAAGCATCTTGGAGGCCAGACAGCCGACAAGAGATGAAACACCACTGGATGCAAAAAGGTTCAAATTCTTCCAAAGTTTTTCTCTGGTTTAGAAATAAATACAAAAAAAAAAAAAAAGACATTTGGGATTATGGTTAGCAGAAACAAAGATAAATACAAGAGTTTGAACTGTAAATATAAACATTGATGCTGCATTTAAACTTGGACAAAAAGACAATTAAAAAAATAAACTACAGTAGACAAACACTGTGACCCATAACCTTTTGGTTACAGATTGAAGACGACGTTTCTTACATGTTTTGAAGGTTGTCTGCCGCCGCTGCAGTTCTGTCTTCATCTCAGCTCTTTGTTTCTTTCTGCAACCTTTTATGCTCATCCTGAGTCCTGTCCACACCCAGATGGGTTGTTATCTCCCTTGTTTGTCGTTACACAACTAGAACAAAAGAACACATAAAATTTCTGCATGTACTCCATTTAAAATTAATTTGAGTTTTAGTGTATTTGTCATAAAACTGAAAATTAAATAAAATTCTTTGCATATTACTTTTCTTTTCTTTGTTGCAACAGTTTTTGTGTTCCAGAAATGCAATGCTGTCTTTCCTGTATCTTTAACACAATATTTGAATTGTTCTTCATTAGAATAAAGAAAAGAATGTACAAAAATAGGTTTTCTCCTTTAGGTCACTTATAAATACAAAAATGATAAATATCTATATGTAGTTTAAATGCATTTCTCAATAGACTGACTTTGTTGTCACCCTTTAACTAAATTAAGATCTGCTTTGGGCATTTTCCATTGTAAATATAAAACACAACATTCTCAAAGAAAACTGTAATTTGTTATTTTGGCATTCAGAAATTTGACATATTTATATTTTCTGTAGCTGCAACTAAAGTAAAAAAGGATTGTTTAAAGTGTTTTCATTGACACTTTCAAAAAATGTCAGGGGCTTCAAGTTCACAAAGTTACTTTTCAATAGTTCCTTTGTTTTCATTATTTACTTACAGTAAACAATGAAAACTTATACTCATCAAAACCAAACAATGGTAATTGTACACAAAAGATTTAGAGATATTTAGAGTCGACTACACCTATTTGCTTGTTCCTTTTGCAAACTCCAGCTGGAGAAACCAGTTTACTTTGTTCATCTCTCTTTGCTCTACTGTCACTCAAATAGATTAATTATCATTTCCAACTAGACTGTGACTTGATCAGAAACAGAGTAGAAGAGATAAAACTTTTATTGTCCCAGCAGTAAAGTGACCAGCAAGTTACAGCATGTAGATTTACACAAATAAACAAAAACAATTTACATACTAACAAAGCATTGAACTGTGAGGTTAGCTGAGTGTTGTTGCCTCCACAGTCACCAGGTCTCAGTCCAATAGAGAACCTTTGGGATGAGGTGGAACGTTTCCAGTACCTTGTTGAATCTATGCCACAAAGGATGAAGGCAGTTCTGAAGGAAAAAAGGAGGCCAACCCGGTACTAGCAAGGTGTACCTAATAACGTGGCCGGTGAGCGTGGTTATAGGTAAACAATTAAAATCAGGATTTGGTCTTTTAAACCACCAAAGGAACCCAAAATATTAATCCAGCAGCAAAGTAGCAAATTCTAAAGGATTTGACAAAACCTTTTAGTTTCAACTATATTTATAAAAAGCTCAGATATGTTACTGACACATGCTATATAAATAAAATTTGATTGATTTATTGATGTATTTGTTTGCATTATTGCTGTAGGTGTTTCCAGGATAGCAGGAGACACAAGGAAGTATAATGGAAAAACAAACTCCTTATGAGACAGCTGTTAAATTTCTCATTTACTTTGCGTTTACCTGTGTCCTAGAAAGTGAAAACCACAGTTTGCAGAGTATCAGTGGACAGACAGAAGCTTAAACATGAAATATAATAACTCCTGTAATTCCAGGAAATACATCCTTGTTTTCCTTGAACCACAGGCAGGTAGCATCCGCTTTGGTCCTTTTAAGAACAAACACAGCAGGTTCCAAGAAGCTCAGTTGTCATGTGGGTTAGACTTCAGATATGAATATAAGTTAAAGTTCTGGTTAGGTTTTATTAATGAATGCAAGTCAAAACAATGTCTTAATGACAGAAATACAAACATGCCATGAATGTGTGGTTCACTGTAACACGTGTTCATTCTGCGATTTGCTGCTCTCAGTTCTCCTGGTTTATGTCTGCTTCCAGATCAGCACAACTATAAGCATAAAAATGACACTTTCTGCTTAGCAAAATATAGTTTTATTCTAATTATGATACAGAAAATGTCTTGTTCATGGCCTGCTGTATCTGAGCTGCAAGCTGGTGACCTCTGAACCAACGGGTTTAACACATCCTATAGGTGACTCATTTAAGACACAACAATCAGGTAAAAGGTGGATTAAAAACAGCAGCAGAATTTGGACAGTTTTCAATAAAATGGGAAGAATAAGTGGAAGAGTCAGCATTAATAATCCTAAAACTTTAGCTTATTTCACAAATGCTACTAATAATCATTAATAGCACAGCATGCCAAGTTTAGTTAAATGTGCAAAGACTGTGTCAGATTTATTATTATTATGATTGACACATATAATCTTTTGGTCTTTCCAGTGAATGGTACGTAATGATCTGCTTCCAGCTACTGACTTGTTTCCATGACTTCTCTTTTAATCCAGGTATAAAATGTATTTGTTTCATTGTTTGGTCTAAAAAATAAATTAATACTCATAAATTGAAATGAAGATTAGGTGTAAATTCAAGCTGGGCGACTCTGTCCTCCTACCTGCATCAACAGTGTGTCACGCCTTCGCCTCATCCAATCAGCAGCAAGTTGTCACTAGAATTCAGCCAATCATGACTCAAGAACCCCTTCATAAAGCCAAACCTCCATGGATCCACCTGCTTCCCAGCCGTGCTTCGACCCACCTCCTCCCCGTCTCCACCCTCATCCTTCCAGCAGGCTTCCCTCCACCATCGGTGCCTTTGCCCCAGGGCAGAAGGCCACCTGAGCCCCTCCCTGAGCTCACGGCAATTCTCGGCATCCACGTCTTCTGCTGGCGCCAAAGAACCTCAAGTCAAATAAAACTTTCCAACTGTTGCTTTTTCTCCATCTGTGTCTCTCCAGATTAAAATCTATTTTAATCTGATCATTTTCACTTGACAATTCTGTTTTTTTTCTCTTTTTCTAATTAATTCAATGTCAGTTGTTAAAGTTTTGTGCCTTTCCCTAAATATTTACAGCAGTAAATTTTTACCCTGCAGGATCATCCCACCTTTTCTAAAGGAAGGTCGTACATTATTCTAAAATTATATAGATGTTTCCTTCATGCACACATGGAAGAGCAAACAGGAACTGATTGGAGCTCTTAATTTTTAATTCCTAAAATATTTTTTGCTATGTTTTATAAATGTACTGGTTGTTTACACTGTTCGGATAATGAAGTGTTGTTTGCAAAAACCCAGAGACAGTTTGTTCCCTCAGGCTGGATGGTGAACTCCATGTTCACCTCACATCCTGAGTATCAGTTTCTCTACTGCATATTTGCACTACCAGAACCTGCCTTGAACAACAAATATTAGTCTGCATACATATAAATGCACATATTGTTCTTTTCATTTTTTTATTGAAATGTTGCCACAGCAAAATTACTAGATGGTGCTCAGTTTTGTTCTCTTACATAAAAGTTTAGAAAGCCAATATCTATACACAATCTGTTTGAGAATACACTGTTTCTATGCAAATGAAACCCAAGAATCAGCAACAATCAATAAAGTAAATAAGTAATTATTCGCAACCAGGGGCGTGGTACAGCGGAAAGTGATAACAATTCTAGGGGCCCTGACCAACAGGGGGCCCTCCACAATTTAGTTTTTTATTTATTGTTCATAGAAATAAAATAAAATAAAAAATCGGGGCCCTGTCAATTACAAAATTAATCATATTGTATTTTCAAAGATTGTTTTTAGCAGTAAAAATGTAATGTTCCCACTCCCAGATCAAAAAACACACATCCATATTTGCCCTGAACCCCCTATTGTGTTAAATGGTTCGTTCCTGGTTGGAGCTTCAGAGTGACGCTGTTAGCAGCAGGCAGTGGAAGACACAAACCACTGTGGCAGTTACTATGCTGCTAAGAAAAGCTATAAAATCAGGTTTTCGAAAAAAAAAAAATAGAGGGAGGGAGAGAGAGAAAAAGACAAGGCAGTTTTTTTCCAAGAGAGGTGAGTAGACTGTGTGAAATTATCAACCATTTAGCATAGTTAGCTTAGCTACAAACTACTGTTTGCCTCCATTTCATTAGCATTTAATGAATTAAGGAAAAAACTTACAAATATATTCATATATTTAACTTGTCCCTTGTAACTTTTGCCACTTAACAACAGATGAGTCAGTCAGCAGCAGCTCTAACCCACATCCCTCCTGACCCGTCCTCCCCTGAGTGAAATTAAAGCTGCAGTATATAACTTTTATATGAATATTTTTTTCCACATATTTTTTAAAACTGTCATTATGTTGTGACAGTATGGTATGAGAGGTAATCTGTGAAAAATCTATTTCCTCTGCTTTCTCCCAGTGTTCTCTAAAAACAACTAATGAGAGGCAGGAGAGTTTTAGTGCTGTCAATCACAATCTCATGTGGTGCTGCTCATCCTTCCTCCTCTTGCTCTGTGCTATGCTGCAGCTAGCATAGCCTGTTATGAATGCTTAGTCTAGTAAGCGTAGCTACCAATGATGGCAGATAAACGATTTTCGTGTAATCATAAGTTGTTTCTCCACCATTAGCACATTTAGCAGTGAGTGAATGAGGCTAATTGACAGTGCTAAGAGCGTCCTACTGGTTCTGATTGGTTGTTTTGGTCAGAACCGTGCATTACTTTAGCTAGCAATAGTGGTTCAGGAAGGAGATGGAGGAGATTAATTGTTTTCACAGATTATCTGTCTCATAACAAACTGTTACGACATCATGGCAACTTTAACAAATATGGAGAGAACATATTTTTTATTAAAGTTATGTACTGCAGCTCGAATAAAATGCAACTACATAGCATTTCTTGAGAAGTCTGGATTGCTTTATGTGTATTTTGCACATTGTCTGTGACTGTTGCTCGTGGGGAGAGATATTTCAGTATCTAAAACTAATAGAAAAAATTTAAGTAACCTACTTGCAAACTGGATGTGGACTGAATTTTACCTTTGCATGTAAAATTCATGAGCAGTAAATATTGTACTAGTTATCAGTATTGGACCAAAGAAAGCAAGGCAGTTGTAAGCTTTTGAAATTGTGACACTTTTGATGAGTCAGATAGACTCAAGAAATTGTAACAGTAGCTGCATGAGGGGGGGCC